TTTTCCATTCCTTTCATATTGAATATCTTCTATTATATTTTAAGTAATAGAAAGAGCATCGAAACACGAGGCTATCTGATTTGTACGAGGGGGCGTAGCACCCGAGTATTTATCAGATTGCCGAGTGTTTTGATATTCTTTCTCTTTTGTATCAAAGTCAAACATAAAAACACGTTCCCTGTTGTCACAATATGAAACCCCACGAAAAAGTAACCAATGAACGAGCATTTGAATTGCTTTGCCTTTCTCTGCCGTCACAATAAGTAAACCCCGCCAAAAATGAGCCAATCAATGGGCATGCTCTGGAGTGCGGGTAACTAATACACGCACGGTGCATGTATATGTATACGATTTAACTCTAACACATTTTCAACAGAAAGGTCTCCAGACTATGACACAAGGGTGACTTTAACCACGGATTTATAATATAAATCCGTGCTTTAACTGATGAAATATATAGATTTCTTTCCATTTCAATCGAGCCTACTTTGTAGTTTTCAATGGATTATGCTTGCAAGCATGCTGATTATGTTAAAAAACCGATTATAAATTATCATAATTATTCTACTCGAGCAAAACTATTTAAGAAAAAATAAATAAAAGAATTAAAGGAATAACCGTTTTATCTTGGTGACAAGAACTCATGCTAAAAATATCCTAAATAGAAAAATATTACGTACTTCTATTCAAATTCATTTTCATAGATGTATTGAAGTTCATTCAATAATAAACGGTACATTCGGCCGCCAATGAAAACGAAACATTTGGGTTCTATGTATAGGATATCGACCGAGTACGAGGTCTTTCTGTTTAGGAAAGACCTTGTCACGAATTTCATGAGACACCGAGAGCGCGTAGCGCTCGAGGTGTTTCATGAAATTCGTGACCAGGTCTTTCCTTAACAGAAAGATCGATGTACGAGGCCGATATCCAACTTACACACCGTTAAAACTATCTGGCTTGAGCAATGGCTGATCCGAAGCATTCGATGAATCGCACAAATATTATTTTTAACACAACGCATATACAGGTAAGCTTTTATCAACGTTCTGCTTAAATACAATATATTCTTTGCTTTCCCCTTTAAAATAAAAAATCAAAAAAGCTGTCAATAATAAAGTGAATAGATCTGTCATAGAAGGTATGTTAAAGAATGAATAATTATGTTCATGGTATGTCGTATCAGACAATGCAGATTCTAGGACATTTGCCCCGGACATTTGACCCCGGACGTATGTCCCCTTTTTGCCGTTGTGACTTGTGACTTGTGACTTGTCATCTCGTGTATAGATTTTATGTATGCAAATGGAAACATTTTAGTTTTATTTATTTATGGATGCTATTTTGACTTTCACAAATTTGCGCGAGAGTTTTTGTGTATTTAAGTACAATGAAATTTCGACAATAGGCGATGAATTATGGAAGCAAACAATTCAACAATAAAATAGTTTTTAAAACAGAGAGCGGGGGGGGACAAATGTTTGCCCCTTCCAAAGATATGAGGGGGCAAATGACCGCCATTTCAAAAAGGGGGCAAACTTCCGAGGGGGCAACTGTCCGAAGGGCAATATGTGGATACCAAGAAGACCAAGCATATTGTTGGCAAGTGTGAAATATATGAACCGAAACTATATTTTATATAGTAGATTATAAAGTGTTCTAGAATAAAATATGATCGTTCATCATAAAATGTTTTAAACTAAATCACTAATAACTTTATTTACATTTTAAAATCTTTATGGGTAAGCTGTGATTTCTGCTATATAGTTTCATAGATATGAACTTAAAGCGTTCATTTTGTTATATTATGAACTTAATTACAGAATTACTATTACTTTAAAAAATGACGCGATTAAATAAATGTTAAATGTATCCTAACTTTGACATGCTATCCATTATTTTTACTGAAAGATTTAATATAGGGATGCTGGAATAATTGCTTTGTATTTATTATTTTCAAGTAGAATTGAGAACTCTACTGTATTGCATTATTTCTTTATATTTTACTGTTTAACTATTGCAAAATAGTTATAGGAGGGCAGTATATCTTAAATAATATGATATATTTGTCGTCATATGTATATAAAGTGAATTGCTTTTTTGTTTTTCGAATTGGAACATGTTATTTTTTTATAAATCCAGGTTTCATTAATATGCCGGTGTCATTTTTAACTAGAGGGGGGAGTGTGTAGATAAGGTTAAATTAAGCCAAGTTATCTTTTTAGAATGTTTACTGTAATAATTTCCCTTAAAGGCCAAACCAAATCTTTTGTAGTGTTATGTGTTCATGTTTGTCTTTGTTCCTTTTGTTATGGGAGATTGAACTGGTTTTGCAAGTAGAGTGATGGATGATTGGTTTTGGTATGCAAGTTATTTTTAGATGTTTTGGTTCTGAGATAGCTAATATTTTCTTGGTAACTGGCCACTCCTTGTCTCGCTTTCGAAGTGACAACATAAATTCTTCACTGTATTTCAGTAATTTCTCTATAAAAATACTTGCTTTTTATTTATATATAGTAATTATTAAATTAGAATCTCTTCTATCAAGCCTGGTATGTATATTTGTATATATTTATTTGTGAAATTGTTTTTATTGTAATTTGAATTGTTGTGTAATATTCTGTATTATGTATTTTGTGAAATGTATTTGTCTTGTAAAATATTTGTTCTGTAATGTGATGTCTTATTGTTATTTGATTTGAATAAACTTATTTATAAACCTCATTGAGTGTTTATTGTCAAAGAAACCCCACCACTACAAATACAACAAACACTATTGTATACAGTACAACTTACAGTACAGTACAGTACTGTACAGGAATCCGGGTCAGCTCGGCCCTCAAACGTACTCGGCCCCCGAGTCAGCTCGGCCCTATTCCAACTCGGCACGGGTCAGCTCGGCCCACTTTTCAATTATCAATATTTAGGTTTGTGTCATCACTATTTATTGTAATTATTGTAATTATTTATAATACACGGATTGACAGTTTCCTAACTAGCAGCAGACATGCTGTTCTTAGAGTAAAGATAACCGATTGCGTATCTTACTATATTTTAAACATGATTTTAAATGTGAAAAGTATTTTGATTTAATTACAGACAAAAATCATAGAATTGCTCTTACTAAATTTAGAACGTCATCACATAACTTATGTGTAGAATCTGGTCGATATGAAAATATACCAAGATCAGAAAGAATATGTAAATCTTGTTTAATGAGACAACCTGAAACAGAGTATCATTTTTTGTTAGTCTGTCCACGTTATAGAGAATTGAGGAAAAGGTTTTTTAAACCTTATTATTGTCACTGGCCGTCTGTTATAAAATTCGACAGCCTAATGTCTTCTAATTCTAAGAAAACTATATGTGCTTTATCTAAATTTATTTACTTAGCAAATAGACAACGTATTTCATAGTATCTCTTCTAGTAATATCTGAAAATGAAATATATTCGAACCATAATTTATTGTTTAAGATGTTTGCATTTGCATGTATATGTTTCAAAGGAACTGATTTGCAACAGTGAATATTACGTTTAGTCTGTAGGACTTTAGTGTTCTTCATGTCTTTATATTTTAGAAAATGACAGAATAAGTTAAGTGCAAACTATTCAGGATATTGTAGGTTGGCGTCTGTTTATTTGCAACTTATGCATGCAAGTGCAACATATATATTAAACATGTTAAATATTGAATATTAAACATAATATTCTATGAATCATCCTATGTTTACTGGAAAATCTATGTTTTGATCTCCATACATTGTATATATTACAATTGATACTTGTTATAAAATTCGGTAGCCTAATGTCTTCTAATTCTATGAAAACTATATTGTGCTTTGTCTAAATTTATTTACTTAGCAAATAGACAACGTATTTCATAATATCTCTTCTAGTAATATTTGAAAATGAAATATATTCGAACCATAACTTATTGTTTAAGATGTTTGCGTTTGCATGTATATCTTTCAAAAGAACTGACTTGCAACAGTGAATATTACTTTTAGTCTAAAGGACTTTAGTGTTCTTCATGTCTTTATATTTTAGAAAATGATAGAATAAGTTAAGTGCAGACTATTCAGGATATTGTAGGTTGGCGTCTGTTTATTTGAAACTTATGCATGCAAGCGCAACATATATATTAAACATGTTAAATATCATATTGAATATTGAACATAATATTCCATGAAACATCTTATGTTTGCTGGAAAAATCCATGTTTTGATCTCCAAACATTGTATATATTACAATTTATACTTGTTATAAGCATTGTACTATGCTTTATACAAATAAACTTTTCGTATTCGTATTCGTATTCGTATTCGTATTTCTGACTTAATTACCTTCATTGTCAAACAATGTGTTGAAATATATATTGTTACGGGCTATCATTATCAATCAGTGTGTATGTTAAGGATACCGATTAATTAGGTGATAATTATGATTGACTCATTCATTCATTTGATTAGTGACCACCAGGCACCTGCAATTAATTAGAAGCTTATGATATTAAATAAACACGTTTTTGTTTCATATTTTTTGAATATTACTTTACAAACAAAATGCATCTAAGGAAACACATTTTTCTAGATCTATATTAATTTTATCGAATCTGCAAGACAAATAAATATAAAAAAAAAATCCTAAATGAACTTTATTTCGGCAGAAGTATAATTATATAATAAAAACATATTTTTCATTATTCATTAACCTTAACAACATGCATAGCAAAGTTATTACGTAATATATATTTTTGTAAAGTGGGCCGAGTTGGCCGAGTTGGTATAGGGCCAAGTTGACTCTTTTCCCTGTACAGTACAATGACCCATGATAGTAAAATGACTGTGTATTATAAAGATGCTTGAATGATTTCAACATGTAATTTACGAAATAAATCTGTAAAATAAATACCACCATGTTAAGTTATAAAAGATATAAAAGTCATTCTGCCACATTCGCATATCATTATTTTTTCAATAAAAATTCTTTTCGGGTAATATAGGCAGAAGACCAGTCCATGTTGTTAGGTACGCCATTTTGTCTGTTTATTTTTCACGATCGTCTTGTTGTATTACCTGAATTATGGCTGACGTTGAAGTAGCAGAGCAACCTCCACCAGCGAGTAATACATATGTGATAAGGCCAAATTTTCAACACAAGTATGATTTAATCCCTATTATGATAATTGTTGCATTTATGCGACTATAAAATGAACAGTATCCGGATGAAACAATTTTTCCGGATAGTGCCTACTTTACTCTTCTGTAGCAATGTTTTATTAAGCAGACTCGGTTGACATGTGGTCGATCAAAATAATAAGCTAAAAGTAGCAAGAATCTTTGATTTCTTTTCATTTCACTTTACTTACATAAAGTGTAGGAAAATTATCGTATAATGCAGCTTTTTGTCTTTGATATTTTTCAGCTGTTTTACACCTTTAACATGCATAATGCATTATTAGAGTGTGTTGATCAATGCTCGGTGTAAAAATACAATATTTTAAATTAGAAAAAATAATTGGCATCAACTTACCTTAATGTTATATGTTCATTTTTAAGACTAATGATATTGTTCCATTGTTTACATTTCGCTTATCACATAATGACGTATTTGGCAGTATACTGTGCTCCTCTTAGCTCACGGTACTTAACCATTTGAAACCAGAAAGAAAATAACAAATGAAATTAATGGTACAAAAATTGTCATTAGCTGCAACATATAGGTATTTTCTGCTGTATGGCACTAGGAAACAACAGTATATTCAGTCAAAATCAGTTTTAATGGGCCAGACATTGACCGTGTGTCGGCCATTTTGAAAACACTATGTCATCATTTAAATCGCGGTAATGATGTTATATTTTAGTTTTCTCATGTTTCAGTTAAAATTTCTACATGCTTGATTTTAAATATTATAATTATACTTGCATTGTAACTCAAAATTAATTTTTTCAACAAACAAGAACATTTAGAAAATGATGATTGATTCAGACATATGTGGGTTAGTCATTGTTGAGGTTTTTTACAAATTCTATTTCTTTTATGTGTTGTCATTTAAAATGCCTTTGTTGAATACATATAGTTACTAGTCCTTTGTTAATTGTGTTATCAAATCAGAATTAGCTTATGTTATCTTATTATTGTTTTGTTTATGTACATTTAATGTACTGATATTTTATGTAATTGTATGCCTGAGAAGGCCCATGATTGGTAATAAAACATTATTCTATTCTATTCTATGCAAAAATTTAACGGACTATTGTTGCTTTTTGCAGAAATTTGAAAAATGTTGTTCTATTTTACGTAAAAATCTATAGATTTAAAATATTTTGCACAAAATCTTTGTTGTTTAGGGGTTTGAATAAAATACGTCAATTCTTACCAATTTTAACACTGGACACATGAAAATATGCCATTACCGTGAAATAAGTGATGATGCGGAATTAGTGATGTTGAGTATAGCTAAATATAGGGATGTGCGGTATTACCGGTATACCGGTATACCACGGTTTCGTTCAGACGCGGTACGTACCGGTACGACCCCTAGGAATACCGGTTTTTTAATATATATAATTTTACATAATATTTTTGTAAGATTCGGACGTTATTTACCCTGTAATCTGTGTTTCAACTTTGAACCTAAATTAAAGTGGAATTCCAAGTCTATTTTTAGAGCAGCAGTAAATGCACAGTATAATACTCTAACGAATAATTAGTCGCGGAAAGGTCGGATCGTTTCCCGGTTGTTTTTCATATTTATTATGTAGTGTAAATACATTTCATCCGCCGACATTTTTATAATTTCTATATATCATTCTTCATTTAAATGCATTAAAAGGGGACACCCATGTTAGTGCTCAGTCTAAGGCTAGTAAACATGTTGACGTATTGACGAGTGGCGACAATAACAAAACGTAAAGCATTTAGACATAGCCCAACTTGTAAACAGCTCATACCGTCATGGACGAATTCACCACGGTCAAAAATCCAATGGGAATTGCCATTTTTCTGTTTTAGATTTTGTTGAAAATATTATCAAGACAATAAGGTTATTTTCTTCTTTCTTTTATTTATTATTTTCCAGTCAGGTAGACAGATGTTAGTTGAAAGAAATAAAGATATTAATCTGTTTTTCTAAAATGTATTGTGTTTTATCAAAATGTTTAAACATTCTTATGGCAGTTGGTCTTAGTTTGCATAAGTTAAACATTAAAAAGTGTCTTCATAATACCGTGGTACATACCGCGGTACACAGGTGAAATACCGCGATATACCACGGTACAAAAAAATTGGTGGTACCCAGCCTAAATATAGTCCGGATAAACAGGTGCAGTTTATGTGAAATTGTACCATAGCCCAGTACAAAATGATCCAGGTTTGATTTTCGAAATATTTATTTTCCAAAGTTATGAAGAAAACATACGTAATTAATTATAATAAGCATTTAAGTTAATAAATTTATTTTGTGCCTTATTTTAAGCGCATTTTACAACCCCTGTACGCTAGTTTGATAACATTTCAAATGTTTAGATTTTTATGATTTCTTTATGTCACCATTAATTTATGTAGTCTTCACCATATAATGTTAGTTTTGCAAGAATAGTGTACATAAAACAAAACATACAGTATGCCTTATAGACTCATTGATTCGTGCCTTCTCATCGATTCGTGAGCTAAATAAATGTCTGGTATAAATACTTCTGCAAGGACATACACCATCCGAAAACTACACAAGTTTTATTAGACACTCTATTTGACAATTCAATCCAATCAAAATGCGTAATTGAACAGGTGTAAATGAGCTTACCCTACAATCAGCTGATGACCTAATTACTTTAAATATTCGATATTAAGGGTGTAACGGTTTACCGGTATACCGATATATTGCAATATGAAAAAATAAATTTTGACCGCGGTACGATTTTTGGAGAACCGCTATATTATAAAAATCATAATTTTCAATTAATTGCCTTCTAATTTTGTACAAATTTCGCATAAAATCTTTAATTGGCGAATTTTATTGGCGCCAACATAGGATAAAAGAATCTGACAACTAGTACACTTAAAAGTCAATAAGCGGCCGCATAATTTACATAAGCGGCCCAGATGTGAAAGGTCACACGTGACTAGTTTTGTGACACTTTACTTTCTATTTATTCCTTATATTTTTATTAAGTTTCTACTAAAAATATATACATATAATAATAATATATAATGTTACTCCATCTTTACATCAAAACATTTACACGACAATACGTATTGCAATATATTGCAATACTCTTCAGCAAAATGGCAATATATTGCAATACGGTTTTTGCCGTATTGTTACACCCCTATTCGATATTAATGTTTTTAATTTATCAAACACACTTGCAATTAAGCAAAAAAAAATTCATTATTCTGTAAGAATTTACTTAAGACTTTGAAACATATATTGATCAGATCGGACTGAAAATAACCATGCGAACATTTAGTGGTGTGAGCAGCTATATTTTGATGACGTCACAGGGTGAATCAGATATCACGAATCGATGGGTAAGCGTCCAGTCATGGTTGACATGTTCAGATGCTCTAATCTTTGAGCGATTGTTTTTAAAGTAATTTAAAGTTTTTGAACTTTTAGATAATGTATTTATTTAACAAATGCACTTATTGAACTGTATTTATGTCTGATATTTGTTGTGCATGTGCAATTTTTCCAAATAAGAGTCACGAATCGAAGAGAGAAAAGCATATAAAAAGTATGCATGAATATGCAACTATTTAATAAAAAAGTGATAAAAATTTCATCAGGTCACAAAAGGATACAGAACAGAACAATTGCTACAATATATTTACATAATAGAGCAGTATAAAATACAAGTGTCTTATAGTCCAAAAGGATACGTGGAAAATCGTAGGAGAAGACAGCTTGAATGAACATTTTTGATATCTTATGCTGGAATGAACATATTTTCTAGTCAGTGAGTATGTTAAGCTTGAATGAACATATTTGATATGTTTAGCTTGAATAATATATTTAATAATTATGTTTAAATTACACAAAGGAAAACTTGAAAAACTTGCACTTTAAATATAAAACCGCTGACAGAAATATTTGATTCATGCTCTAAACAACAATTTGTGTGTGTGTTTAAAAATATGCTTTATCATGATGTCCTTAGCATTATGAAGTACATGTACATGTCACTGAGAGGCCATTGTAGTGATTCCTTTACTTTGCTTAGACAAAAAAATACATCAGTTAGCAATTTTTGTTTTGCCAGTAATGTTTTCCATTTTACAGGAATAGTTTTCTGCATAGTTCAATTTGATTCTGGCTTAAGTAATTAGGCAAATTTTGAAGCCAGGTAAAGTTGTTTTGAAAGAGAATTAAAAATTGCTGTCTTTTTTTTCAGATTTCGACCAGTATCTGTGAAAGAGTGTATTCATGCTGTGTTAAATGAGCATTTAGATGGTAAAACATACGATCCAGAGGAAATAATGGACTGGACAAAAACAATCTCTGATGATATTAAAACAAAACTTAAAGGTAAACAAAATACAAGCAGTGCTTTAAAATGAAAAAAAAGATTTTATATATATTTGAAATAATTAAATCTGGTCTCGGACCACCAACCAGACACATTTTGAACATTTTTTCAAACAGATTTCATTATTTTAAAGATAAAGCTCTGAAAATTTGACACATATAGGTTCTTCTCTTAACTAACAGACTAGTTTGTTTATTTCTGGTTATGTTGACACTTATATCTGAGGCCTGTGAAGGAGGGTATCAAAATTACATAAGTTGTCCTTACTACAGTATCATGTGTCCAGACAGATATGTCCATGTCAATAAATGCTTTGGTGTTTTAATTTTTTATTTTACATGATATAAAATATTTCAGCAGCAAATGCTGAAGTTTTGGATATTCTATTATTCACTCTGCAAATAATTATAGCTAGTATAAGAGGTCAGTTATTGCACTTTTGACGTCCAGATTTTCAATGTCAGTGTTCTTGAAAAAGAAATTTTATGAAAAGTGAAATAAATTAAATTGCTTAATTATAGATCAAACATGCAGTTATTGTTGATATAAAAGCGACTGATTGATCAACAACCACTGAACAAATAAAAAAAAACTAAATCAGGCATTTTCAATGTTGTCCGGTATTGGTGGTCTCCATCCAGTACAGTGTTCATCTACAGGGATTGTTTTTTGTACTAATGCAAACAAAATTTTATATTGTGGTCATTTTTGCTCTAATTATACATACATGTGAACACTCCCACTTTGAGCGGGAGACTCCCACTTTCTGCAGCCATATTTTCAAAGATTCTTCTTAAAATAAGGGGTATTTTCACAAATTAAAGAAATCTCCCTCTTTTTGATGTCAAAACGTCCTTCTTTGTTTATTGCAAATTCTAAATCTCCATCTTTTTGAATGAAAATCTCCCACTTGATCATGGAAAAAAGTTCACATGTATGATTATAATCTGCATTAAGTAAAAATATAACAAAGAGACTTCTGACTCCATCAGTGACAGAGATGCACATATACTATAGTTACTAAAGTGTGTTCTGGAATTCATCATTTCACATTATAAATTGAATTAAACAAAACATGTTGACAATATTTCTACTCCAACTTGTGTGTGCACTTTAAATGTGCAATATTGTGTGTTGTTTATTTCAGATATGGGATATGATAGATATAAGTTTGTTGTTCAAGTTGCTATAGGTGAACAGAGAGGAGAGGGTGTAAAGTAAGGTTCCATTTATTTAATAATCAATAAACACAAAGTCAATTATATTTTGTCATATTCTTATAACATGTAGCAGTTAATATATTGTATAAGTGGTTAACTTAGAGATGGCGAATTTCGCAAATTGAGGCAAATCTAAAATTTCCTGTACTGTAAATATCAACTAACATGTCATTAAATTCTACCCTTGCACGATTTGCTAATATTTCCTCACGCGAAATGTCTGTCATTTTAATTTCGCTAACTTTTGGACAGACAGAAATATCTACTTTTATCACATAAACCGCGGCGCAGGAGTGTAATAAAGTCATTTAATAAAAACGATATTACACTAGTACGTCACGTCATTTGCACTATAAACATAGCGTTAAAGCGCGCTAATGTTAGCGTTACACTACAGGCGCGTCAAAGAAAAATGACTCTTGTTAACAGTTTACCGTTCTTATTAGTCCCCTACCGGTTTAACCGGAGGGGACTTTAGGTTTACCCTCCGTCCGTCTGTCCGTCTGTCTGTCTGTCCGTCTGTCTGTCTGTCTGTCTGTCTGTCAGTCTGTCAGTCCGTCAGTCCGTCCGTCCACAAAACTGGATCCCGTGATAACGCAAAAAGTACTGAAAATATTTTTATGAAACTTGATATATGGATAGATGGCAGTATGGAGATTAATGCACGTCTTTTTTTTTTCTTCCTATGTTGAAAATTCTGGTTGCTATGGCAACAAATAGTCTGAAAATATGGCAAAATTTAACACATAAACTGGATCCAGTGATAACTCAAAAAGTACTGAAAATATTTTTATGAAACTTGAAATATGGGTAGATGGCAGCCTGGAGATTATGCACATCTTTTTCTTTTTTCTTCTTATAGTGAAAATTCTGGTTGCTATGGCAACAAATAGCCTGAATTTCAAGATTTCTGATTTTAAATTTTTCAAGCTTTTTCACTATATGTTCTCTTATTTCTTAAGGTGTTTACTTCAAAACTTTAAATATAAAGTTTCTGGTCATCAAACCACATCATATGTGACAAGGTTTATAACTCTAGCCACAAAAAAATATCAGTATTACCTCCCTTGAACTTAGATTTTTTAGGGGAAAAAATGTTGTCTTTTTTAAATAACTTCTTTATTTCCTAATGTATCTACTTCAAAACTTCATTTATATGTTTTTTATTATCACTCGACATTTTTGAGAAAGGTTAAATACTCCAGCAAGA